CCTGAAACAATAAACTGAAACTGTAAGCCCGAAAGCTTAGTGAGTTACCCCCGAAATACCGATACACATACAGTCCACATAACCATGTCAGCAATAACATATCATAACAAACTGAACAGAACAGCACATAACGGGTCCACAGCCCTACAGACTGTAATACCCACGAGCCCACAGTACGAGTCTCCCTTAGCCCGTAACTGGAATGCTCTCGAGCCCACAGTACGAGTCTACCTTAGCCCGTAACTGGAATGCTCCTAGGGTTTGTTGGCTACCACACGAAGCAGTACAACCTCAACCCATCCCATATAACAAACACATAACATAACCACTGAGCATGTAATAATCACATAACATCACAGGTAGTCCTACAGATCCACCTAACTGGCATAACCACTAGCATGCAACACTAACTCGTACTCAACCTCTAACACTGCTAGGATAATATATCCAATGGGCCGGCCTTGGTGCCTTAGACCCCTTAGTATAGTGAGGATAACTCACCTTGCAACTGTCGTCTGAAACTAGAAAGCTCAACTCCCGGATCACCAACACGAACTCCACCACCTATGGTTTCCATAAAACCCTTTTTCATAAATCTCCAAATTACCAGAATACCCTTAGAAGTCAACTGGTCAACCCTTGGTCCAAGTCAAAGTCCACAGTCAAAGTCAACATTCCATGTTGATCGACTCGTCGAGTGCAGTTCACCGACTCGTCGAGTCCTTCTGAGCTCGAGGAGTCGTGAAGTTCTTGATTGGCTCGTCGAGTTCCCCTTTAACTCGTCGAGTTCATACGTGTCCAAGAATTGGGAGAAACCCTAGCCGACTCGCCGAGTCTTCGAACGACTCACCGAGTTCAAGGCAATCTTCAACGGACTCGCCGAGTTGTTCATCCAACTCGTCGAGTTCATGGCCATCTTCAACGGGCTCGCCGAGTTGTTTCTCCAACTCGCCAAGTCCTTGCAGACCTTCATCCATGCAGACGCTTTTTAAGCCATGGCAAGGTTCCAGATTATAGATCCAAGATTCGAAGGCATGTTTATCATGTAAAGTTGCAAACTTTACGCACATGCAAGGCTCTAAAGGCCCTAAATGACCAATCTAAGCTTCCAATGGAGCTTTGCACCTTGGGAGAGTCTCATTCTTGCACAAGCTGGAAACTTTATGGACTAAGAAGCCCAAGGGAGCTCAGTTCTGAAGTTACAACTTCAGATCTTAGCTTGCACACAAGAATAGCTTCTAATCATACCATGAAAACCCTAGAATTTGTCCAAAGAGGGGATCTAGAATGAAATGAGGTCAGGGTAACGATTATACCTTCCAGAAGATGCCCAATAAGGTAGATTTCAGATCCTACAAGCTCCTTGCTTATGAATACTTGCTCTCCAAGCTCCCTTCTCTACAAAATCCTCTTCCAAGCTCAAAATACACAAATGGAACACACACACTCGATTAGGGTTTGAGAGGGACAAGAAACAGTAAAAGGGGAGGCTGGGGGAGGCCAATGATCCTTTAAATAGGGTGCAAAACCCCGAGATTTAAGGTTTCATCTGCCAGCTCCTACTCGTCGAGTCCCTTCTTGGACTCGGCGAGTAGGTCATTAAAATACGTGGACCAACCCGCTGCTACTCGAAGAGTAGGGCATTCAACTCGTCGAGTAGCCCTTGAAATCAAGAAACTCACACATTAAATCAATACCTGAGAATCGGGGCGTTACATTTCGAAGTAGAGAGTAGACTGTTATTGGAAGAAAAGCAAGGACTGATAATGGCCAACCAAGAATTACTTCAGTTGCTGCAATAGCAATAGCCATGTCATGCATTCCAAAAAGAAACAATGCTGAAGAGAGAGAGATTGCATACATAGAAAAATAACTTTGGCAAAAAACCTGTAAATCAAAGTTATGAAAAAGACTTAATATGAAAAGGGAATTGAAAGTAGAAAACATGATCTGCGTATAAAGTATAAACACAGATACATAAGATTATCCAATTGATAGATAAAAGAAAGAAATCAAACGAAAAGGTAAGGGTTTGTTTAGGTACCAAAAGTATAAGAAATAGCAGGGGAAGAGGAGTGTCGGATAGAGACCTATACAGAGAAATACGGCTGTCATCTACCTTCCAGTGACTGCCATTTGAATTGGAATTGGAATCCTCGTATGATTTCACGGCTGGCCTCACTCTCACTGCTACACATATCTTCTCCATTTCTGTGCACAAAGCTTAAAGGATTGATTGATTTAGCTGGATATGCGACTGAAAGTGATATTTGTTGATCGATCGGGTGTATAGGCGGGATGTATAGAGATACAAATTTTTCTATTCGATTTCAAAATCAAGGTTACTGGTTACTTTTGCCTTATTTTGAATAGCTTTGGCTGAGAGTTGTTTCTTCTGCTACTGAAGCGAGACATGATCTCACTAAATTCAACAAATAGGCTTCATAAACTTCTAGAGATATTAGATTAGAAGAGCTTCGATCTCAACAAACAATCGATTTCCTCAGTAAATTCTAGTCCTAATCGATCAAATCACTGGTAAGTTTTAAGAATGGCGTCACCAGAAAGTACACATAATAGCTTTCCACGATTTCCAGTAGAACGGAACATAGCAAAACCTGGTGACGGTCTTCATATCTGCGACTCCGCCGCCGCACCTAGAACAAAACCCTGCCACAGTCTTGCATCGTCTCACTTGACGAGTTTGGTCAACCAAAAAGCAAAAGCACACCATTTCGGTTCGATTTCTCCTTTTTTTACTAAATTGAATGGATCTCCGACGAAATGTCGAGTGTTAGGCTTCCGACGCCGGTGACAGTGGAGAGATTGAAGGATTTTGGAAGAAGTGAGAGAGCGGAGATATTAGGTTTTCGTAGTGGTGGTCGATGAAGGAAATAGTGGTAAGCCGTTGAAGGCGTTGATTGTTGACAGAGGTAGGTTGGTTGTTGGAGGGCGGAGGGAGGCGGTCGACGGAGAGGGGATGATGTGGGCTGAAGTGTTCATTGCGGGAGGTGCAATGAAGATTAAAGGGATGGGGGATGAAGAGAGAGAGAGAGAGAGAGAGAGAGAGAGAGAGGAGATGAAGGGGAAATAGCGTATAAGGAAAGGATCAGGTACAAGTTATCTCAACCCTAAAATGCCCTCAGATTAATTTAATTCAGATACCCCCGTGTTTCTTTTTTCCAAGTTTTTACAAAAATACCACAAATCATCTTGACCTTCTATTATTTTGATCTAACGGCCCTTGTATGGTTCTCAGGCAGGTTCTCGGAAAACTATAGGCTCTCAAATGATCCATCCTATATATATATATATATATATATATATATATAGAGAGAGAGAGAGAGAGAGAGAATTATTATTTTATAAATGTCTATAAAATAGAAGTTAATGAAGTTTATTTCTTTTAATCGTGGTTTGTCTGAATCAAAAATACAAGCTATAGAGATTATTTGGATTTGGTTTTAACACAAATAGTGGGTGAATAGTAGAAAATTAGAATCAAAATGGAGGCAAACGTACGTGTAGGAACCGAGTGGCAGGCTTTTTCCACGTGTGAACACTAAACACCACCCCTTTCGGGCATATGTGTCTTGTGGATTGCTGCTATTCATAGACGTTCACAGGGACTAGGCTTTGATTGGCTTGGAGGATTTAACCGTCGAGTGTGGGAAAAATTACCATTTTTTAAAATTTAAACCAAACCACATTATTATATATATATTAAAGTTGTGAAGAAAAGGAACAGTAAAATTATGGTGTTTTGGCAGCGATGGTCCTTCATTTATAGTGGTCTCTCATATTTTGGCTTTTTTGCTGTGCATTCTTTTTCTGGGCAGTTTTTGTCATTTTCTACAAACATTATCGACACGTGTTTCTCACCTATTGTCTTCACCGATTTCCTACCCAATCACAATTCGATTGATGTTCCAACTCCACCGCTATGAGTCATCGCCACCAGCTTTAATCCTTACTTCCACCGCCTTACTCGACCGCTTACTTTATCCTCTCTCAAAATCGCTCCTCCAAACCTCTCTCAAAGCGTCAATCCCGGTCACCCATCGATGCTTCCTTGACCGCTCACTTTATCCTTTCTCAAATTGACTCTCCTACCTCCACTGTCGACGGTCGGTGTAATTATTCACCATCGATTTGATCACTGTTTCTCACTGGTGCAGAAGAACCTGACGACAATCCTCCGACTTTGATTGCTTCCTTTGATGGGTTCCGATTTTCACTGTTCTTTACCGTCATTAGTTCATTTCTGATTTGTTTGACCTAACAACCCGAATGGATACAGTTGGGGATGGAGACGGGACTCGAAGGTAATGCTTCCACAGCTTACCATTTTATAGTTCCAATTTTGACATTGTTAGAAGATATTTTTAGGGCTTTTCAAGAGGCGGCGTATGCCGTCGACTCCCATGTGAAGCCTTCGACCCTGCCTTCTCCTTCTCTAAGGACTAACAATTCCTTCTGCAACTACAACACCGACATTTGATTTCAGGTTCGTTTTACTTCACTTTTCTAAACAAATGAAGGTTTGATTTTTTATATGTGTGTTTATGTTGGTATATCTGTGTGTATTTTGGTATATATTCACAATAGAATCGATTACTTTTCCCATTCTTCATACCACCTTGCTGTTTCCAGTTTCCATGTGCATGTATCGCTTTGTGTCCATGCCCACTACGTGTTTGTAGAAATGCCCAGCTTAAGCAAATGCAAAATATCATCTTCGGGTTGCAAGTCTTATTTTCAATGGTTGAATAATGGTATTCAACTGTTGTGTAAGTGTGAAAAAAAAATCAACTGAAACATGGAGCTGTTTGGGTTTGTTTCATTTGGCTCTTCACAAAGAAGAAGAAGAATCAATGTTCTTCTTTTTGTTTATCACGTTTCATCTTGGTAGAAATCAGTATGGGTTTGATGTTTCATCGTGAACTGGTGGTAATCAAACTACTGTATGTTTAATATGTATATGTTGTTAGCACTCTAATATGCCCTTGAAAGTAAAACGACTTGCCCGAGATCCAGAAAGATTTGTTTGGGCAGTTAGTATGGCACAAACAAGACATATTAATTTCAGAATAAGATTTGGTTCATTAATTCAAGATGCAAATATGTTTGCTCCCTATGCAGGTATACCCTTTTTATTCTTATTCCTTTTTTACCCTTTACTTCAATATAGAATCTCATAACTATGGTCTTTTTCCACAGATATGTTGAACCATTCTTGCAAGCCAAATTGCTTTTTCCATTGGAGATTCAGAGACCGAATGTTTGAGGTGATGACAAATGTTGGACAAAGGATTAAAAAAGGGGAAGATGTGAACTCTGATGAATGGTTTTTGAAAAGGATGCAAGAGATGTCACTGAATTACCATTTCACAATGGAGCAAGAAGTAGGATCAGTTATGTATTTTTGGATTAAACGGTAATATAATTAAAAAAACAACAAAATTCGACACATTTTTTTTTATTTTTCAATAAAATAATAAAGGGTTAAGATGGTAATTAATTATTTAATATATAGGAACCGGTGGAAGATTGTTGCCATTAGTGAAGCTTGAGGGTGGAAGGACAAGATGACGGTGGAGGACATGAATCTTGCTGTTCTAGCAGGTATTTCAGAAATTTTTGGTTTGTAATCACTTATTCATTTAAATATACTTTTACAGTTTTACCATGTTTGACAATTTTTCATTTTCTCTTCAGATGGATGAAGTGCAACCATCTCTCATATTAGGTGATGTAGCTGAGAAAAAGAAGAAAAAGAAAACGAAAAAGGTGAAGGTATGTAATTATTTTGTCATCCTAATTCTTTAGTTATATTTCATTTTCATTTTTCCTTTTTATTTTCTACCACCTACAAATCTTATGTGCACTAGGTAAACCATTTCTCTATAATCACTATGAAAATTTTCCTATAAATTAATGAACTTTGTGAATAATCGCCTTTACATATGATTCTAATAGACCATTGTCCGTCATTGGTGGAGTGAGGGCTATATTCGAATAGGTAAATTTTTTTTAATAGGGGCATAACTGGAAAACCGAAAACTTTCAAATTTAATACTAAAAAATGTCATTCTGCTTCTGCTGATATGATGTAATTTGTATTGTGTAGGACCATGATGGTTCATATATCAAAGGATTGTGCGTTAAACGCAAAAAACAACAACGTACACTAATTTATTTGATTACTTTCATTTCTTATCCAGCTGTATTGTATTTGAATGACATTATAGCATCCTACTTTCGTGACCCGCCAAACATCAATAAAAAAAATCCGACCCGTGCAACGCACGGGCCTCATTTCTAGTTACCATTAAATACTAACATTCTTGTACATATTTCACACTATAAACACGTCCAGTTCTTTCTTTACTCTCAAAATTTTATCTAGTAATTATGGATCAAAATCAAAATACTCCAAAAACCCCAAATGGTTCGTATGCGCATATTGGTGGATACAACACATGTTAACATCCGCATGTCAACAACAATCTCTATTCACCAACCATCCATACTCCACAAACTATTTCCAACAACATATACCGTAAGAGTTTCATCATTCCCAGTTCCAAGCTTTTCAACAACAAAAGGTCGAGAACATCTGAGTCGAATGTGGGTTTTGGCATTGACCTCAGTGATGACATTAACGAGATTGAGTGAAGGGTCCACCAGAAGTCGTACTTTGTCGACCGAAGGGAAGGCACAAAGCTAAACGGGCGACATCGTTGTCCACCACAACGAGGATCGATGACGTACTTTAAGAAAAAATAGTCAAACATATAAATTTTCTCAAAATAAAGTTAAAAAAAAACAGAGGAATCTCACCGCTAACAAATAATACTTAACGATCTGAAATTTTTTTTATTTAATGCAATTTTAAAAATAAAAAAATAATTAAGTATATATGAGGTTGAGTATTAACCATTTCCAATGGTTTTGTAATTCCCATGTTCCAGGTATTTTTATATTCGACTTTGTTTATTAAAAAATTTGCAAAATCGGTCCCTACGCTAGGCGTACATGATGGGTACGCCAGGTGTAGGTCATTAAAGGTGATCACGTGTTTTCTCTAGTACGTTGGGCGTACGTGCTTGGTACACTGGGCGTACTCATGAAGGTGTCAAACCCTAATTTTTAGGGTTTAGACCCTATTTAACAACTTAAGACCCTCAAGGCCTCTCTCATCATCAGCCTCCATTGTCCCAAAGCATCATTTCGAAACCCTAGCCATATTTGTGAGATTCTTAAACCATTTGAGTTATTTGGTGTGTTTTTGGTGCATATTGAAAAAAAAATGAGCTCATTAGAGAAGTGTTGGTTAGCTTGGCTTAGTTCTTCATTAAGCATCTTCTGGAGGTATAAAGCTTCAAACTTTATAACTCTTATGTGTAGATCTAGTTTTGGGTCATGTTATGGCATATTTTGGTCCCATTGCTTGGATCTTGTGATTAGAAGTTACTCTAGAACCTTCGAGCATCATTTCTAGCCATCTCTGAGTTTGATAAGCCATAAAAATCGAATCTTGGGGGTTGTAGTCCACTTATGCATGATTTGTTGATCTTTTTATGAAGTTTTGGATTTAGAGTTTAGTGTTGGGTCCTATTAAGCCATGCAAAGGCTTAAAGTTACCAACTTTATCAGTTAAGACCTTTTTAAAAGTTAGATCTATGATTTGTACGTTTGGTCTTAAAGCATTAAGGACTTAAAGTTGAGTTTTAGGCAACAGTGAAGTACGTTGGGCGTACCTCCTAGGTACGCATGGCGTAACGGGTTGAGCCCGATTTCTTTTTCTGTTGGAACCCAATACGCTGGGCGTAATGGGGTGGTATGCAAGGCATACTCACCAAAAGGTCTTTTGGGTCATTTTGAGCCTTGGGTCATTATGAGTTTGGGTCATGAATTAGATGGGCCAAGTAGGGAAGGGTAAAATGGTCTTTTACCCTTAGTGAGATAAAATATGATTTTAGACCATTGATTAGAGGTTATTGCCCTGATTATTAATTAGGGTTGATTTTTGAATATGTTCAGTGTGAGGAGTCGTGGTAACAGCCAAGGTTGTAAAACTCGTTACTCGGTACCTGTTCGGCCGACTACCGAGTAGCGAGTACTCAGGAGTACTCGGGGAGTACTCGGATTCGGTAATTTTAATTTATGTAGAAATATTTTTAGGGAAATTATATATGTCAAAATCATAAGTTAAAATCAAAAGTTGATTGAAATATATAACAAAATTAGATATATATGAATATACAAAAACAGAAAAACGGATAATGGTCCCACATCGTGAATAATTGTTGAAAATTTAAGATATATATGTAGTAATAATCACATGTGTGTGTGTGTTAAATATTAAACCGTTAAGTATATTATACATATTAATTACCGAGTTGACCTGGTTTTACAACACCCTCAGTTCAGTAAGGGGCCGATCGGGGAGTACTCAGGATTCTGCAACTCGCCTCGGTAAGGGGCCGAGTAACGAGTACTCGTAGGAGTAACCGGACAACGCGGCGAGTTTTACAACACTGGTAACAACAGACCGAGAGTATGATTTGTTTATCATCAGACTGAGGTGAGTCTCCTCACTTTATTTATGGGTCGAAGGCGCCAATGCCGACCCATTGGATTATGTTGTAGGCTAGTAGTGGTCTTCGTGACACTTACTGATATGTCTATACGTGATTGTTGTCTTTGTGACTCTTGGTAGTATGATTGTATGCTTAGTTGTAGGGGTGGAATAGACTCGTATCGGTTGAAAGATATCGAAGGAGTCGGAAGGGACTTAGAGAGTCGGAAGGGACTTAGGGGTGAAATAGACTCGTTATATGTTTATGTATGATATATATGTATGATGTATGGTATGTGACATTTTGGGGAAACTCATTAAACTTTGTGCTTACGGTTTATGTTTAAACGTTTTTCAGGTACTTCCGGTGACCTGGCATGATCGCATCACATCAACCTGTGTTTGACGCTTTATGATTTTGGGATTGTACTTTGATAACTATTGCTTTTCTATTATGACATTCTTGATGGTTTTCGAATATATATTTAATGGTTTGGTTGATTTTAAACTATTTTTTTACTTAGTATTTTTGAGATGTTTCAGGTTTGTGGTGTGATAGTAGGGATATTGTAAAAATGATGTGACGTCACTTTTTTTAGTAGACATGTAGTGATTATACCTCTTAACCTAAAACAACATAAAGTTGGTGATGTGCAGAGCCAACTTGGCCATTCAGATGCAAGGGCATAAAGCCATAAAGGAATACAAAGTGTGTATGTGTGTGTGTTTTTTTTTAATTAAATTCAGACATGGTTCTGTATTTATATATGAATTTTTAAGAAGTTTTTGATAAATTAAGAGACTTTTATTAAAATACCTCCAAACACATTGAGCTTGACTCCAGCCCCAAGTTTCAGGGACAGATGTAGGAATACATGGTAGGTGTTGCCAGGATGAATAGGTGTTGCCGATACATGAAAAATAAGTAGAAAAAACTGAAAATCGAAAATAAATTCACTGCGGCCAGAAAAGTTAAGGGGTTGCCGGTGCCACACCGGGAACCCCTTAGAACCGTCCTTGCCAAGTTTGAATCTATACATCATATAAGAAAAATATTTTGGAATATTACATAGAACATGTTTAGGAAAATTAGATGGTGACTGAAAGTTGTATATTTTTATTTGTTATATAAGTGTTTGACAAAAATAATTGAAAGTTTTTGAAGTATGTAAAACTACATAAAATAATAATTGTTTAAAAAAAGATAAATATACAAATATATTTTTAAGGACGATTGAAAAAACTCAATAGCTTTTTCATAAATGATACATGAAATGTTTTTTTTTTATTATTAATTAATTTAGAACTTTTATTTAAACTAAATGTCAAACGTTCATGCTCCCAAACGAAGTGTTTTGTTTAAATTGAGTTTTTTTTATTAAAAGTTAAAAGCTAGAAAGCTCCAAACATTCGTTATAAAAAACGTCCATATATCTACATCGAATGAGAAAATATTAAGAATTTCAATGGAAACGTTTTTTAATATTCCAGTATCGGTATTATTCATGATGTTTTCATATTGCTAGTTTATATTTTTTTCATAATGTGGAAATTATTATTGCATTTATAATTTTATATGTTGCAATTAGTAAAAATTACATTTTAATGGTCTCTAAAGTCTAAACTCGTAACATATAAAGAAAAAGTGTTTGGTGTACCATGGTTGATTATGTGTTTGTGATAATTGAGGAAAGGCGACATGGAATTCAATTGCTGGGAGACGCTCGGAGGAGTAGGAGGCGGGAATGGCAATTTGTGGTGTTCACAAACTCACTGCGATATGAGAGAGAGACAACTGTTAGAGAGAGAGGGAGGGAAGGAAGGAGATACGTAATTTTCGAGTTTTACATCGTTCTTACACAACGCAATGTTGAGGAAGCTCAAATCATGGGCACGGTTGCAAGGAAACCGAACCGAAGCCCTACGTCCCTCCCGCTTTTCCGTGTTCTTCTGTTCGTTCTCGTTCTCACCGGCGTCTTCCTCTTTGAGGTATCTTCCTAATCTTTCTTTACATTTCTGCCAATTTTTAAGCTGTTGTTGATTGTGGCATTTCGTCGAACAGGTGGACAACTTGGCAACGCAGACCAAAACCATTATCGGTTACAACTTAGAACCAACGCCTTGGCATGAATTCCCTGCCAAACAATTCAACAACGAAACAAAGATCGCTCGAGCTTCCAGAATCATACAGTGCTCTTTCTTTTCCTGTGGAATTAAGTCTCACACTAACCAAATCCCATTCACTCGCAAAATCGAAAAATGCCCTCGTTTTTTCAGATGGATACATCACGATCTGGAGCCATGGTCCGAAACCCGTATTTCACACGCCCTGTTAATGGAAGTAAAAAAGTTCGCTTCTTTCCGCGTCGTCATCATCAATGGAAAACTGTACGTGGATTATTATTACGATTGTGTCCAGAGTCGCGCCATGTTTACCATATGGGGATTTTTGCAGCTCCTTAAAAGATTCCCCGGTAGAATCCCAGATGTGGACATGATGTTCGATTGCATGGACAAACCCTTAATCGAAAGAAACTCATCGAATACCCCTCTTCCTATTTTCCGCTATTGCACCACCCCTAACCACTACGACATCCCGTTTCCCGA